ATAAATCAACTATTCATCATACAATTTAGATTATTCATTCTTTTGTAAAGCTGTGATCATACACACAAAAAGTCTACATTTGACAGATTATTTTCAACAGCCAGTTCAACCTTCTGTAATTCATGCCTAGAAGGCTGAATTGACCTGTCTGAGATCTCATAACCACTGCACATCATTGTACCAAAAATGGAGATTGGGTTCCACATCAAGAACTTTTCTCATAGTTGATTAATTTTATGTGAAGAGGAACGCTTGGGCAGTGTTCTGTTTTCTCTTTCTCATTCAGACAAACTAGTACAACGATACTTAGAATGTCTCAGAAATTTCCTGGGTGCCCATGTGAATCAACTGTACCTTAGCACAATCCATTGGCATAATCCCTGAAGAGATGCAAGGAGCATCTCCAGAGACAGTGGGCAGTTATCTACTACAGTAATTTCTACTGGGTAGTTTTATCTCCCCTGTAGCTTACAGGGTAAGGAGGAAGGCTGCCCTCATTCACCTTTAATTTTCCCCAGGGAAATCATATATCAAGGGATATATGAGGCAGATGCAAGGACACCAGCTTGCTGTTGCTCAGTCACTCATTGCTTTCCACCAGGTTGCAGTAGCAGCAACCTACAGGTCTCAGAGAGGTATTTCTTAATTATACTCTATACATATCACTCTTCTGACAGCCATCCTTGCTAAGAAGAGCTATGAAAATCAGCTTCTTAACATGCCTTGTGAATGGAGTTATGTTTTCTTAGAGGATATTGTTCTGATTAATTGAATCTGCTGATCACCTGACAAAGTTAACCAAGAAAAACCCTTACTTTTATCAGGTCATCCACATAGTCAAGCTGCAAGCCTCTGTGTTAAGGCTCTGCAAGACCCATAAAAAAGGCCTGTTGCACTTCCACTAGTGTCAAGGCATTGTGAACAAGATCTGGTTCTGACTTCTCACTGGTGTAGCTGTTCCCAGAGGTGCAGAGACAATGCATAACACCATAGCCAGGTCCCTTGAAAGTCCTGTAACAACAGGATGCAAACCAGACCAACCTTTTTTCAGAAATGAAAATGGGCTTGATCCTCAGTTTATGTATGCTGGCATGGATGTAGCTAGCTTTATTAGGGAACTATGGTGATTTAAATCATTTGAGAGTCTGGCTCCCTGGGCTGAGCAATGAGAAATGTAGGACAGCCAAAAAGGGACATAGACCATTAAAAAAAAAATTATAACAGATATTTTATAAATATATTCTGCAGGCTTGTCTTTAATCTTTACAGTTTTAATCTTTTGCTGTCTACAAGAGAGAACATAATGCATTTTTTTATATATTTTGAAGGGTCAGGCCCAAAGTCATGTTCTTTTAGAGGTCTTATGGCTTTCTGTGCTTTTTTGATCTTTGTACCATCATGCAGACCTGATAAGTAGATGAATGACCATGATAAATGTGCATAATGAGAAAGTGATAAGAATTGCAGCATCTGACATGAGTTATGTCTCTGTTGTCCAGAAATGGAGATGCTCTACTTTTATCTTTACTCTCTAATTTCTTAATTAGAAAGAAAGCATATTTTCCACCCAATGCATATGTATTTGGCAAGTATGCTGTCTAATAACAAGGCATCTCAGCCAATGACCTTATTATAGATACTGCTGTAATTTTTTGTTTAAAAATGTCTCTCCTCCCTGTAGAGCATGAGCCACAGGACCAAACTTTATGCAGTGATATATAACAAAAAATGTCTAGAAATAAAATTTGATGGTTTCCTGGTGATTTGCAAAAAATGAAGGATTAGGGCCCAATCCTGAAACCTTTTCAGAGTACATTCTAATTTTCTCACATATATGGTCTGTTTCAAGTTTCTGGGATTAGTTAGAGGAGTAATGACATACACATGTATTTTGAAAACCTAGCTATGAAGATCAGATTCTAATCAGAGATGCCTAGAAAGTCCAGATCCTGAAAGCCTTTTAAGGGAAAAACACTCTTTAATGAGATTTGTCCCATTGGTAGGACTCTTGGTTTAGACAGGCAACAAAAGCATAGCCATTGAAACAGTTGTCTAAAAATGAGCCACTGTATGCTGTTGTAGAAGTAGAGCTGCAGATTTTTGAGAAAATACAGTCTGAATCCAGTGACCTCAACTTTCCAGAAATCAAGTGAATGGACTGAATTAATTTATAGCAGGGTTGCTTTCAATCCAGATTCCATTCATCGTCTCATGCCTGCAAAGATTCACACACTTGCATGCTTTTTCATGCTGCACACTTCCACTGAAAAAAATTATACATCTGTGGAAGCAGAACTTAGTGGATTGAACCTACTTCTCTCAAAGTAAGTGGCAAAACTGTTCACTTGAGTGAGAGGAAGAAAATATTAACAGCAATAAAGCTACACCAAGTTGAGAAATTCTTCACACTGTAAACAGCAAAACTACATTGGCTTCAGATTCATAGAATGAGAAAATTAATTAAAATTAATCTCTTTTTATTACATACTGCACAACTGTTGTAATACAGCATTTTATATTGCCCTTTAATCATTTGCATTACTTTTCTGCAATAGTACAAAATTACTTGTGCTTAAAAGCTACATTTGAAAGCAAGAACCTCAGGTAACTGCAAAAGCATATTTTGCATATATTTTTTGTTTACTTGCATCAAGAGACAAAGCATATAAAATATCAGCAATACTTCTTGTAGCAAAGAGGAGAGAAACATTTTGTGGAGAGTGTTTAGATTTTCATGGTTTCCTCTTAAACTAAGATCTGTTTACTAGAGGCATTACAATTTAGTGAGACAAATTAGGCTAAACTTTTTATCTCTGGTGGTTTGCACATGCACTGATTGAACCAGTATTTCTTCTAAAGATTCCCTAGGAAGATAAATGAACAAGAGGAGCAATTAGAGTAAGGAAAAACTAAAGATTGGCTGACATGATTTAAGTTTACCTCTAAGGCAGTTTGTCATTTTGTCTCTATAATCTCTATCAGAATTGACTAAAACCGTAAACATAAATCATTATACTAATTTATTTCACCACACTGTGGTCTGAGAGAAGAAGATTTCATTTTTTTCAACAGACTTTGGGGATTCAAGCATTTGCAGAACTTTTTTTAATACACTAAAAAAACCAAGCCACCCTAAAAAATTATTGATTAGTGTTTCAGCTTCTTTAAAATCTGATTTTCTGTGTGTTAAGCCAAGAAATGTTCCTGTAACTATTGCTAAAATAGTTATTAAGAATTCAGAATAAATAGGCATGGATTTGATTTTTTTAAGTGACTGTATAAAGCTTAATGCATGACAAAATGTAATGCAAGGCCATCAGTTAATACGTCACACTAGACCAGTTAATAAGCAGCCTTCTCTCCTGAGATGCATCAAGAATGAAGTCTGTAGGACTGTGGAATACCTCTGTGGTAAGGAAACTAGTAGATATCTGAGGACATCCTGGAATATAAATCTCCATGGGCTGTCACAAAGCCTGTTATAGACTCTCCAAAAATAGACTGCTGTATATCTTCATTAGGAACTGTACTAACAACACTGGCTGCCTGCAATTTTATTCAGAAGCCATAGTAAAGCACGGATTATATTATGTTGCTCTTGTCAAGTGAAATATTCCTTATCAGTGACTCTAAGGGATGAATTTTCCAATGTCACTTAAACATCTATGTCCTGCTGACTTACTTGTTCGTGAATGGTCTCATTTGATTCAGTGGAGCTCCTTGCATATGCCAATGGCAGCAGTATCATTCTGTAAATTGTTCCTCCAAAGTAACACTACCAGAGATTTTGCTCCCCTCATACCCACAGTCCCACAGAGCTCTCATGGCACAGGGTGTGCATTGCCTGACTTCACTGACAGCCAACCCTACCAAAACCACCACAGAAGAAGGTTGGTCCTGATAGCTAAATCCAATGAAAAGGGAGGAGGGGAAATGTGTCTGCAGGTCTAGTAGAGCAGTCTTCAGATAAATCTGGTTAAGAATACTGTGAATATTCTGAGCGCACTTCTAAACCAGGGCTAGGAGTGGCACTTTCCTACAGAATCTTTACTTAAAAATAAGTAATTTGAGGATGACTGGAACTTTGGGAGCCTAATTTCCTATGGATTTTTGTCTCCTGATTGGTTTATTTAGTAGCTTGAGAAGGAGAGTGTTTGGCACAGCCATTTCCCATGTCAGATTATTTATAGGTCTCTATGCTGTGACTTGGCACCTGTTTTTATGAAACCTTAAGGAATGTAACTGTCTTTCAGACCACTCTCCTAGCATCTCCTACAACTCTATATTATCAAGGGTTCAAATGCTGTTATAAGGAAATACACAGAGAAACATTACACATACTTGGTTGCATAAACTGTAGGAAAATACTATAAATCATGCAGGATCCATCATGAAGTAGTTTTAAGCAGAAATCTTTAGGTTTTAAGAAGTCTAGAACACCTTGATAAATGCTTCAGCTCAGTCTTTTGTATCTGTCTTCTTTGCCTCTGTCTTTGGTAGTCAGACCAGCTAACACCAGAGTGTTCAGCTCCCTAAGCTGGAAGATAAGGATGGAGAGCAGAACAACACCGCCCTCCCCCCCCCATAATCCAGGAGGAAGTAGTTAATGATCTGCTTCTGCATCTGGACACGCATGAGTCTACGGGGCTGGATGGGATTCACCCAAGAGTACTGAGGGAGCTGGCAAAGGAGCTCACTGAGCCTCTCTCCATCATTTACCAACAATCCTGGTCAACAGGAGAGGTCCCAGATGACTGGAGGGTGCTGTGTGAATGTGATGCTGATCTGCAAGAAGGGTAGGAAGGAGGATCCAGGGAACGACAGGCCTGTCAGCCTGACCTTAGTACTGGGAAAGATCATGGAGAGGCTCATCTTGAGTGAGCTCACAGAGCAAGTGCAGGGCAGTCAGAGGATTAGGGTCAGCCAGCATGGGCTTGTGAAAGAGAGGTCTGGCTTAACCAACCGGATCTCTTTCTGTGACCATCAGACCCACCTTTCGAATGAGGGGACATGAGGCTGTGGACATTGTCTGCCTGGACTTTAGGAAGGCCTTTGACACCATCTCACACAGCATTCTCTTGGAGAAGTTGGAGAATCATGGCATAGAGAAGTGGGTAAAAATCTGTCTGGATGGCCAGGGACAGAAAGTTGTGGTAAGTGGGGTCAAATCTAGTTGAGGCTGGTCACCAGTGGTGTCCCTCAGGGCTCAGTTTTGAGGCCAGCCTTGTTCAATGTCTCTATCAGTATTCTGCATGAGGGGATTGGGTGCACCCTCAGTAAGTCTGCAGATGACAGCAGATGGGGTGGGAGTGCTAATCTGCTTGAGAGTAGGAAGGCTCTGCAGAGGGACCAGGACAGGCTGGATGGGTGGGCCAAGGCCAGTTGCATGAGGTTTAACAAGACCAAGTGCTCGGTCCTGCATTTTGGTCACAACAACCCCAGGCACTTCTACAGGTTTGAGGAAGAGTGGCTGGAGAGCTGCCCAGCAGAAAAGGACCTGGTTCTGGTGGACAGTCAGCTTAACATGAGCCAGCAGTGTGCCCAGGTGGCCAAGAAGGCCAACAGGATCCTGGCCTGCATCTGGAATAGTGTGGCCAGAAGGAGTAGGGAGGCGATCGTGCCCCTGTACTCGGCTTTGGTGAGGCTGCACCTCGAGTACTGTGTGCAGTTCTGGGCCCCTCACTACAGGAACCACATTGAGGTGCTGGAGCATGTCCAGAGGAGACCTACGAAGCTGGTGAAGGCTCAAGAGACCAGGTCATACAAGGGATGTTTAGTCTGGAGAAGAGGAGGCTGAGGGGAGGCCTCATTGCTCTCTGCCAGAAAGGATGTTTTTGGTAGGTGGGAGTTGTTCTCTCCTCCCAAGTGAATAATGACAGGATGAGAGGAAATGGTGTGAAGTTGCCTCAGGGGAGGTTGAGATTTAACATTAGGAAGAATTTATTTACTGAAAGAGTGGTCAGGCAATGGAACAGGCTGTCCAGGGATATGGTGGAGTCACCATCCCTGGAAGTATTTAAAATAAATATAGATATAGTGCTTAGTGACATGATTTAAATAATTTATTCTTTCATTTACTAAGTTGCAAAAATTGGGAGTACAGCTGTAGTCAGGTATCCTCTAATGGAACTCAATTTTTATGTAATCTGTACATTAATTCTAGATTTTCAATATGTACCAGATTCGGCAGGGCACAATGAAATTTAATCTGGAGATGCATGGACATTCTTCCAAATAAACCTGCTGGGGAAAATAAGAAATAAAATAAGCTTACTGCATATATACCAACACTCCATTGTTAAAAAAGAGTACCATATACATGTGTATTTCAACTGCAGACAGACACAAAAAGTGATGTTAAGAAGAATTAAGTTGGTATCTCAGTTTTGGCTTCCAATCTTTCACCTCCAAATTTTCCCAACATGCAGGCACATACAAATGATCCATTAGTCAATAAATACCCTGAGAGCACAGGATAGAGATTCTCCTGGGTTTAGTTGTGTGCTTTCTTCTCTTGCACAACAGCCCAGAGCTGGGGGGGCATGATGACAGATTCGAGAAATCCGACTGCTCAACTCTGTGATCTGCCCATACTCCTGTTTTTTAAGTTTCAGCAAATTTCACAAGCTGATTTTCAGATTGACACGTATGCTGTTCTGCCTCAGGTCTCCCCTCCAGCATACAGACAGACATGCTTTTTAATGTGCAGTTCCTCAGAATGTGTTAGAGGACTAATATTTTTTTCCTATAATGTCTTTTTTATAAAAGAAATAAAGTATTTCAGCTTATTTCCTTTAAGAAAAAACAACATAACGACAAACCAAACAGATCCATGATACACTAGTCCTGCAAAGCTAAGAGAAACTGAATGCAAGGAATTACTGGACAATATTAATAACAGATGACAGCACTAGTATTCCTCTAATATATATAGCTTTTTCTTTTCTTCAAAAGCAAAAGATCTTTTCATTTGTGACATCTCCTTCCCCCTCTCCCTAGGAGAAAATCCTTCTGTGGCTTCTTCAGTTCATGCAAGAACAAGGCATTTCACTGGATGAAGTTGACCAGGATGGAAATACTGCTGTTCATGTAGCTGCTCAACATGGCTATCTAGGATGCATACAGGTAGATTGATAGCTGTGCCAGAAACCTTTTTGCATCAGACTTGATTGACAACAACTATTAAAATTATTAAAGGGGATCTTAGAAGTGGGAATAATTATTGATGCATTAAAATATACTAGAAGGAAGAACTTTAAACAAGTAGACCTCAGTCTGAAATACTGAAAAGCTCTGACTTTTTTTATTCTATTCTCAATTATGTTATTGCTAGCCTGAAGTAACTGTTGTATTGCAAGAAGAAAGCATGATTATATTATTTTTACATAAACAGCATCTACAATACCTTTCGGATCCAAACATCACTTGGCTAATAAATCAGGACTTTGAGACTGCTGCATTGCATGTTTTAAACTCAGGGATTCTGCTGTGGTAGGAAATTGAGAGTTAAACCGCAAATATTGTTGCAAAGACATTCCTATAATGAGAATCTAAGGGTGTGTTGCAATTCCTTCCTGTGTGGAGCTCCTAGGAACAGCAGATACCAGACCTGGTAAGCCATTGTAGCTCATCTCCACACTCTGTAAACTGGCTAGCAATGTTTTCATACTGCCCTGGATCCTGATGTTAATCTAGCACAGATATCCTTTGAATTACACTTGCGTGTTGCTTCTTTTCTTGGTCTACCATGTGCAAAGTTAGCACAATGTTCAGTGATGTACAGAGAGGTGCATCTGAAAAAGTTTATTACTGTGTCTCAGGAGAGAATCAATAGGTGCCTAAATGTAACCTCTGTTTTTATTTGGTGATTCCTCTCACTGTATGAATGCTATGCTGTACAAACAAATGAACAGAAAACTAATTAATTGAGTGGAACTGCAAGGGAAGAGCAAAGGAAAATACAGGATTTTCATAGTTCTTCTGAACTACAGCCCATCCTTCTGTGTTATCCTTGCATGTGAATTATAGATTTTAGCGGAATGTGTTTTGAGTTCAAGCTACAAACAGATTTGTCAGCGACTGATTTTTTAAAATAATTTGCTTAGACCAATATTTTCAAGCATTTTGATCATGAGTGCTTTGTGTCCAGCCGTTCTTGTGGTTAACAATAAGTCATAGCAGAGAATTACACTTACAGGTGTCAATGTTTCCTTTTGTGTTTTTGCAGACATTGGTTGAATATGGAGCAAATGTCACCATGCAAAACCACGTGGGAGAGAAACCTTCACAAAGCGCTGAGCGACATGGGCACACCATGTGTTCCCGCTACTTAGTAGTTGTGGAGACATGTATGTCATTGGCCTCTCAGGTTGTCAAGCTGACTAAGCAGCTGAAGGAGTAAGTGTTTAATTGTTAGCAAGGGGATTGTTCTTAAAACTATACCCTACTTTGGCTTCCATTTATTATCAGTGTCTGTTTTCTGCTTCTAAAGTACATTTTTTTCAAGTCATATTTCTATCTCATTTCTCTGCTCTTTCCTCTTCTCGAGCATTTGTCTTTTCATGTTTAGCAGTTCAGGTTTTCAATTGTTCCCTTTGTGGCAGTTTTCTGTGAACACACATTAGGAGAGTAGGAGTGGAAAAGGGTGTGTATGAAGAAATTCTGTCCATTTTCCCTATGCATACATTGGGATAACATCATTGTTAGTTATTTCTGTTTGTATTGTATGTACAATCGCTGTTCCCAGTGCTGGGTGTTGATGTTAGGAGGAATAATGGAAATAGTATTTGGAGGAGGTTTTTTGGACTGTGAAAGTCACCAAAGCCCTCAATGGCTACTCAGGAAATATCTTATGTTCTGCTTTTTCTTCAGAGAAGCAAGTTGTAATATTTTCATATGGTTTTTAATAAAAAATATGTAAGGAGCCTGTTATTTTGATATATTAATTTCTGCAATTGTTTGCTTTTACAGTAGGTGTAGTTACCATGACTTTTCATGTCAATAGTCTCATAAGACTTTTGGAAAGCATCAGAACTGACCTCATGTTGTTACAATTGACACATGATTCAGAGCTTCTCAGCTACCACATGCCATGAAAATGATGTCTTACAATCCCATGTTTAGAGGAGACCATATAATTTTATGCAAGTACCATAAGGATAATTGTGCTGGGTATATAGATGAGGGGCTGCCCTTTGCTGGACACAACTAGCTCCAGCCATCTCTGCAACAGACCCACTGCAGGACACAGCTAAGCTATGAAAACATATCTGAGGAAGGGCAGAAAATGCCAGAGAGCAGGAGGGAGCAGAAGAGTGACAAACAGAGGGAACAGCAAGGCCAGAGGAGCAAGAAGTGCACCATGGTAGCACAGGCACACTTCCAAAGGGATTGTGGCCCATGGAGTACCTGTGCTAGAATAGTTACACTCCCTGAAAAGTCTGCTGCCTATGATGGATAAACACACACTAGAGCCTGTGCTTCCTGAATGGATTGCAGCCTGTAAAGGACCCACACTAGAGCACAGGAAAAAGGTCGAGGGAAGGAGCAGCAGAGGGAAGCTGCTACACAAATCCTGACCTGTGCTGCTCACTGGTGCACTGAAAAGACTGTGTGCAACCCACAGCAATGACAAAGATGGGAAGAGAGATGCCAGAGTGAAGCCTGACAATAGGGGAGAAAAAGGGCTTGGAGTGGAGTGAAGTTTAGCCTGGAAAAGGGAGACTAGATGTACTAAATGTCTGTTCTTTTTTGTTTCTTAGTACCTGAATCAATAATGAAATATTTATGCTAACTGGCAATGAATTAAGTTAAATTCCCCAAGCTGAGTCTCTTTTCCCTGTGATGGTAATTGGCAAGTGATGTCCCTGTCTTTATCTTGACCAAGGAGCTTTTTTGCCTCTGTACTTCTTATTTTCTGTCCCCATCCCAGGGAGGAATAGAGGGAGTGAGAGACCAGCTGTGTGCATGCTTGGCTGCCAGCTGACACCAACCCATTACAGTGATGTAATTTTTAGTTTGAAACTGGATGTCTTAAATAAGAGTAAAAATTATCTGCATTGTTAATTCACCATCTTGGTAAAATCAGATATCTATTTTGTACTGTTTTTACAGAAAAAGAAGTGTGTAGCAGCAGTCCACTCTGTCATTACAGAATATACCTTCTTGCATTTGCAGTACACTTATTTTTATGTTTGTCCCTCTAAGTTTATACTATAAAGGCATTTTCTCTTTGTGATATCTTCACTCCCATTTTACATTTATACTCTCATAAATACAAACTATGAAGTAAAGATTATTATAATTTTCATAGTTTTCAACATTTCACAGTCTGACACTGTTCAATGGACATTTCAAAGTGCTATGTGTTCTGTAGTTGATTGATTTTCTAACAAATACTAAAATGTGCAAATCAGTTGATATAGAGGAAAAAAAGCAGAACCTAGGCCATTTCCTGAGCAGCCTGCATGAGCACCTGACTCATCTCAATGTATGAGGAAATTTATTTTCCCCATAATTCAGCAGAAGAAAACCCCCACGCACCAGGAAGTAGAAAGGGCAACCGTGGATTCTCCATGTTTCAGTTCTCTTCAGTGCTCACTGAGTGCTTAATATGTGTTACCTCTTGTATGGAAAAGAAAGACCTGTTATGTCAGTCAGCAGGCCATTTACCCCCCATAGAAACAATCTACTTCTGACTTTCTTGAAAAAAGGGTTAACACTTTCCAAGTCTCCCCCCTGTCATCTTGAAGACTGAATGCACAGGAAGTAATTTAAATGATTCTTACCTGGCTCCTGATGGCATGGTTTACTTGTCTCATCTGGAGTTAAATCTGCTTCCCTTCAACAGTCTATTTTTTCAGGCTTCAGATTTAGCTCCAGTAAGCACAGCAGCAGCCTTTTCTTCCTCTTCTGCAAATTGATGTCTCTTGTGCAATCGTGTTGCAATTTACTGAGGCAGTGAAACATTCACTTTTCTGCTTGAAAGAACAGCTTCTGCACAGCTATCTGAAGGCCTCAGGCTGTGAGTGGCTCTGACAGAAGCAACAGACCATGTTCAGTGACTCATGCTCAGGAGCCAGAGGAGATGATGGGATAAGACTTTTGCCCTGTTTTGCAGTCTCATCTTGCATAAAAATCCAAGGACTGCATGAAGTGCAGTCCTGGAACGGCTTCTCAAGGGGGCTTACCTCTAGCCCCCTAGCAGGGGGGCTACCTCTAGCAGGATAATTCATTGCCTAGAGCACCTCTGAAGCTCCTGAAAGCACCAGATGGCTACAAATGGAAGTCCGGTTTACAAGCTAAGTCACTTCAGACTGCTGTTACATAGAAGTAGCTCAAATTTGGGCAACTGAGCTGGCTTTCCTGTATTTTCTGCAACTACTTCTGCTGGTGTTATGGACATTATTCTAGAGGCAGTGTAGTTATGAGTGTATCATGATGGATTTCAGGAATGGTCAATATCAGCACAGAAGGCCTTATGTTCTTCCCAGCCTTCCCTCAGCCACTGAGCTTAGTAGCCAGTCATAAGAGCCTCTCTCTTATAACACTGTATATCCTCAAACACAGGAAGACTGAAGTGATTGATATTGTGCAAGAAGAAAAACACCTAGCAAGACCTATGTTCAAAGGTCCTGGAAAAAAGAAAAAAGTACCACGTTTCCTTCTCTTTTATGAGCTCTTCCAGTTATCAAGGCAACACAGAACAGTTCTAGAGAGAAGTTATTCCAATCCATCAAAATCTTTGGAGCCATTTCTGAAACAAAGTCACAAAACCAAAACAATAAAATCACATTTTGCCTAAAGTCTTCACATCTTTCAGCTCTTTGATCCAAAGCAGCTCAGATGGCAAATACAGAGGAGTGTAGCAAAGCCTTTTGAGTTGAGTCTAAGTCTTCAAGAGAGAATATCTTTATGTTTGAAAAAAGGAAATATGTGGTAACTACAATATGATATCCAGTCTTCACAAAAGGATTAAGAGAGACTTTTCTCCAACAGAGAAGAGCAACCAAGCCATGAATCCCATAAGTAACAGGGAAAATGACCTGGTAAAAAACTGCTGCTACTGTCTTCAAAATAAAAGCTTTGGTTTGCATGTCTTACTAATTGTAGAAGTTTGATCAACCTAGTAAGACTTTGTAAACTAAACAAAATGCTTTAGACAGTTACAAATGTTTCTCACAGAGTCTATACAAAATATTGGCTGCATTTTACCTCCTGCGGCCTCCAAAGGTCTTGTAATCTCAGTTATTCCATCATTTATTTCATCTGTAAAAAAAAAACAAAACAACCTTAGTTGCCAGTGTAGAAGATTTCTACCTGCACAAATATGTGGTTTCTAGCACTGATGACATTAACACGAATGACTTCCGTTATTTGGACTTCACTGGCCTGAAGAAACCAAGTCAGAACTAGTAATATAAAATTAATGCTTCTGTAGACTTCTTGCAAAACGCTGCTTGATGATAGACTATACTACCTGCATTCCCAAAGAGTTATCCTACATTTATGGACCTGGACGTGCAAAGTAATTAATGCATGAGACACTTGTTGATCTTTTTGACACACTACCAAGCCAAAATCTCTGGCAAGGCAAAGATCAAAGCAAACCATGATGCCAAAGATGAAGATGTATTCTCTAAACAAAATTCCTGGGTGAAACTTCATTGGAATAGCTGTAAAAATAGGTGAATAAAAAAATCATTGTAGTGAGCTAGTAAGGTGTGTGCAAATTGCTCATTTGTTTTGTTAGGTTTTGTTTTTTACTTCTGTTTTTTTGGGGGGTTTTGTGGTAGTAATTGTTATATAGTCATATAGAAGGAAACACAGTATAATATTTCCAATGTTCATCTCATTTTTGCTTAGCTGTTTAGTTTTCTGCTTTACAGAGTGGCCATTGCTGTTTTATTTGAAACAAAACAGAGAAGTAAGGCATGAAGAAGTATCCATGAAGGATACTTCAGTAAAGCCCTGTTCTTCAGCCTTTTCCCTGTTCAGTTACTGAGCTCCCTGATTTCATGAGGAGGTAGCTGAGGTCCACCACTGTGTGAGTAGACACAGAAGCATCCTTAGATATTACATATTGTGAACATTGTCTAAGCTAAACCCCTCAAAATTCAGGCATTAAATATCATAAAGTACTTAGACCCTCTTACCCCTAAAGCTATGTTGATCTTGTCTCCTAAACGAGTCTGCTTTTAGTACTTTGCAACATTGCTGTTTCAGGAAGATGTGTTTTCTTGTTTTCACTGTTATCTTAGATACATATGTGTATGTTATATATTTTTGGAGGTAGTGCTGGCAAGATGTGTGGGTTTCTGTGAGCTATTTACTGACTAGTTCAACTGCAAAAATGGAGGAAACATTCTTTTAGCACAGTAAAATGTTTAAGTGGAATAATAGCAGAAAAAGTGTCAGAGTTTTCCATTAAAGCTAAAGGCATAAGAAACTGTTAGCTACGTTATTTAGGTATTTAGAAGTAGAAGTTGAAAGAAGCATAAAAGGCAAATAAAGGAGATAAATTGCCTCACAATCTAATCTCAGCTGAAAAATTCCCTGGCTCTTAAAAGAGAGTATCGGGGGAGTTGCAATATAACCTTATGTTGACAGATGGTAGGAGCAATTTTTAAATAGTCTAAGGAAGTGTGTAGGCAAGAGGAAGGAAGACAGAAAATTGAAGGAAGAAAAGATCTACATAAAGCATGATTGTATTGTAAAATGTGATGGCAATGCAGTATGTCAAGACCCCACTGTTATTTCTGTAGCACTTTTAAGATCCATTCTGATATGTCAAAAGTAAAATGTTTCTTTTCTACCAGCCCTGCAAGTACCACCCCTAGTCTAAAAAGTCATCTGGATTCTTTCTGGCTTTGACATTGCCAGTTATAAAGACTGCATTTGGAACTCAGCTAACTCTTCTGCTGATGGCATGTGAGCCAGGAAAGAGTCTAGGTCACTGGTGGAGAACTGTATTAGTTCTTCAGATCCAACAAAATAAAAGTACTAAAAACATATTACTTCAATGGTAACACAAGCAGAGCCTGGGAGAAACAGATAAACAGTCATTTCACATGGTCATTTGATCAGGACCAGGGAATGAAACCAAATGCACTGACTGTATTCCAGGTGGAAGTTAGCATATGTACAGTAAAAAAAAAAAACCAACCCTGTGAGTCTCTTGTTTCCTAAGTAGTTTTCCAACAATTGCATGTGCTGTGTTTAAAGACTCTGGAACTTACAGGTCAATAAAGAAAATTGAATGTTATTTGTAGTGGTTGACAATCTAAAGGGCTGTTTTGATGTTAAAATGGAATGTCTAAATTGGATGGGAGCAGGGAGAAGAATAATAATATTTTGTGGCAAATTCATCTATTCCTTCTGTTTTGTAAAAGTACTTAGGTTTTGCAGGTTGTCTTGGTCAACTGCAGTAGGTAGAGCACTGCTGAGTATCAGGTGGGTGCAGAGCACAGGACCTTTGGTAAGGTTGGGCAGCAAGCAGATGTGTTTTTTTCCTACTGTCCTGAATCCACAGGAATCATACTTAGCTACATCCTGCAGCTGAAGAAAATTAGACCAGCCCTTCCCAGTGGGCAAAGGCTCCTCTCTGAGTTCAACTGCAGGTAGAAAAGAAGAGAGCAGTTGTCTGAGCTATTGTTTAGCCAAGTAAAGGCTGTCCACTAGAGGTACAAAGTGACTTAATCTGACCCTTTCCTCTTCCTTTACACAATCAAGTAACAACCAAGTGTCTCTATGTTTCCTCTGCCATATCTTTGTTTCTGAACTACTATTTTCTGTGACTCACTCAGTTCCAATGAACTGCTGTTTACAATCCCACACTTGCCCTTATCTGAAATATAATAAATAATCTCTGACAAGTAAGTGTCTCTCAGTGGGACTTGTACAGTGATGACAAGATGTCCACAGGGATTCAGAGACAAGAACAAACTGTCTATGCTGTTCTTTATAATTTCTCTTTTTATTCACTATGTGCAGTATAGGTGAAGAGGACTTATTTTTTTGAGCAGTTAGTATCAGCTACCTTGTAGCTTACTAATGCTGACAGTTTCACAGTTCAAGGTAAACAGTCTTACATTTTGTTGCAGGCAGACAGTGGAACGTGTGACATTACAGAACCAACTCCAGCAGCTTTTAGAAGTCCAGCGGTCAGAAGGCAAGTCACTGCCCACATCCCCAAGGTGAGGTGACTGGAATTGTGCTTCAGCCTGGATCTGCACAATTTTGTGGTACATCAATTATCATGAGATGCTGTGACCTGTCTAAATAGTAAATCTATACTGTAAAGTAAATGTGTTTTTTACCTGAAAAAAAGTATTAATATTAAATGAATAGTCCCAGTTTCCCAGTAGAGTGAAAATCAGTTTTACAATGGAATAGAATTTATTTCATATTAGATGAATAGCAAGGGATCCTAAAAACCCCTAGAAAAGTTGTAAAGTTTGACCTTGTGGTTGTCCACCATATATTGCTGCCAGCTGTAATTCATAAAGCCAGTTAGCATCAAAACCTGCTTTCAGATTAGTAACACTCCTTATGCTCACTAAATCTTTTGCCCACATTAACTTGTACAAAAAATCACAACTCCAGAAGTTTTATGTATTGTTTACATATCCTGTCAGAAGTTCCAGAACTAGACACAAGCTAAGTAACATTAAAAAGGAGGGAAGTAAAGGCAGAGGACTGGATCTGGAGTCCACTAACATATCTAACTTCTGCCATAGGCTTCCAATGTGAAGCATGACAGTCAAGCACACACATTTCTCTCCGATAGCAATCTGGAGAAGTCTTGAAAGAAATTAACTAACTCACATTAAAATAGGATTTGGTTTATCATTACTGTCTAATTCAGTTTCCTCTCTGGAAGTCATGTTACAGCACTTTTTGCTTCAGAGGGAGCTCTGTATATGTTAAAGTATAAAGCCAACATAAAAGCTTCTGCAGGCATAGACGGTCAGAGCTTTGGGTTCATCAGGTATGAGCTCGTAGGATCAGTGACTGCTTTTTTTCCTTTCTCACAGAATCTCAAATGCTTTTCTGGACAAGTGTTCTATGTCTCTGAATTTCATACATCAGTGTTTCAGACAAAGACATTAGGATTGGAGATGCATTTGTGTAAAGGAACTTCAGTTAGGAAAGGGCTGTAAACTCC